ATAGATATCAATTAAACCACAATACATAAAAAGTAATCTAAAATAATTGTGAAATCACTTACCATATCAGATTAATATGTACTTTAAAATCTTGAAAAGTTATTAATTTACTTACATAGCAACAAAAACTCTAACATCGGATATCAATACATAAAAAAAATAATCTAAAATAATTGTGAAATCACTTACCATATCAGATTAATATGTACTTTAAAATCTTGAAAAGTTAGTAATTTACTTACATATCAACAAAAACTCTAACGTCGGATATTATACTGTTATAAGCATTATTACCACACAAATCTTAATCCATGCAATGGAGTACATGTGGGACAATGTTATTTAATAGGAACTAATCCACCAACACAACAAGACTTCGAGCTTTTGTGTGTCAGTGTGCTTCCCTTAGAGTAGAGTGAAAGATCAAAATAGGCAAAAGAGGAAAAAAATAAAGCTATATTTTTTTAGTCTAAATAAATCTCAGTTAAACCAAGCTATTTTATTACAAAGTACTTAACCGGTTTTCAGTTACAAAATACAACAAAACTTGATTGGATTTATAAAAACTTAAGAGAAGAAACAAACAGAACTCGTGAACTACTTCAACCATTGCTAAACGGACCATTCTTTTCTCTAAACAGTCTATAAAATAATGACTTAATTTGAGAAAACAAAAGAAAAGTGAATATCCAAGTAAACCCAATAAACTGTCATTTTTATATCTTAAAAAATACTCAGACACTGGAAGTAAGTAATACATGAAAAAATGTGATGGGATCACGCATAAATGATAAATCTGCTATGATTAAAAGCAACATTGTAAGGAAAAGAGAAGAAAAAAGGAAACTCGGAGTCATGGTAGAGCCAAAGAAGGGGTCCTCTTCAGAGACAAGTCAAAACGGTACACGTCGCAAACGCTAATCTCTTGTATGGGTCCAGATGAAGTTGGTGATCTACTCTGCTACGTGATGTCACGAGAGACGTCCGATTTTGTGTTAGATGGACGGTGAGAGATTACGCTGGCTTTTTCTTTGAGAGCTCTGACCACCGACCAAATTTGGATAAATAAAGAAAGCAACACTGGGACATAAGTGCAATTATCATTTGATAATGTGATTCTTAGCGTATTAGGTTGGGTTATACTATATATTTTTTTTGGAAAAAAATGCAACGATAAAAGTTGGACACATCCACAATATATCATTCCTCGGATACGGTCTCTTTAACTTTTGTAGAGATTTAATTTTACTTATATGATTGGACTTTTTCTTAACTTTGTGAATCCACTTAAGTAAAAGCCAACCTACTGAATATATGAAAGAAAATGAAAAGTGATTAAAATTTCCCTCGCAGCTTTCATATACCATCAATAGAGAGTGAGTGTATATATCCAACACATCATTACCCATTTATTCATCTAAAATCTCAATAACAACCACTTATCTCAATGATCATTAGCACTTGTTGATAAACCCCTATTTCAATATCAGTACAAATAATTCACAACACAATCCCAGTCATAGTACATATACACAATAAATTCCAAATAGACCAACAGTACTACTTTATGATTTTTCTTTGTTTTTCTGTGTTTTATCATTTATGTGCTAGTTGAAGAAAGAATTCAAAGTTCATTCATAATCCTACCTTAGAACAACAAAAATATGAAAGAACATAATTGGCAAACACCAAGTCATTCGTATTAGAAGAAGCTAAATGATTCTCTATAACTAATAACTATAGTACTTATAAGTTTATAACTATTTGGTAGTAAATATATACTAGCTACTACACTAAACTGTTATAACTCAAGTTTAAAAACTGAACATTTTGTTTGAACATTTGATAGCATAGTAGAGCAAATGAGTCTCATATTACATGACCAAAATATTAACCCATTTATTCAAGAGAAAAGTAGCTTTTTGCACAAAATAGAACTAAAGAAGCCCAACGAGGCTCAACGAAATCCAAGTTGCAATTCTCGGTTTAAGCCTGTTTTGTGAAGATCAACTAATAACCTCGGAAGTTGTTACACTTTGTAAAGATTCAATCTTATTACGCCTCTCATTTAGTGACAAAATGAAATACATATTTTATATGCTCTCACCGCCTTCTACACTCATAATAGAAAGACAAAAGAAAGCATAGAGTGACAAGATAAACAGTTGGGTTAGCGGGTTGCGGCAGTGTGGTCTATTAGTCAATATATTAAAATATTCTCCCATGACCCATTATAATGTGTTACTATCAGGTGACAGTATACTTCCCTATTGAACAATTCATAATCGTCTCATTTCCAAACTGTGTTCCACCGTATCTTGGGCAAGGCATTGACTTGGAATATAATTGTGAAGTAAATTCATCTTATAATTGACCTAAGTTGATATATTTTTGATGGGAAAAAATCATCTCCAACAATGACACCAAAACATAAAATTTGTTTAAAATTCATCTCCAACAAAAATCAAATTTGATATTATCTCATCAAATTGTGTAAAGTAAATAGTATTATATCAAATTTGGTGTAACACTATTCATTATCCCGAATCTTAAAATACATATTTACTATGTTTAGTATAATAATATTAGTTATTATCAAAATTTTAATTAAACATAAATACATTATATTTATTTTGTATTTTAATTATGTATTCTAATAATTTTTACATAATTAAGTTTAATTTTTATTTTAATTTTCAAAATAAATCACTAAATGATCTTGATTGTGAAATATTGATTGCTTGTTGAACCCTGTGAATTGCGCAAAAGTAGGATACTAAAAATTCGAGGTTTACTAGTATTTATCACTTACAAATAATAAAAATATAAATAATATTCTTCATGTGATAAATAATTAATTTATCAATTATAAATAACAAAAATATAAAAAAATTAAAATTGAAAACATTAAATAATAGTATATAAAATTATTTTTGACGTAAAATTTGGTATCATTACTGAAGATGATAAAAAAAATTATGACACAAAAACAGTTAATTTAATGTAATTTTAATATCGAATTTACTGTCATTGGTGGAGATATCCTAAATAGATGATAAACCGTTAAGGTCTACTTCAGGAAGCAGAGGAAGAAGGTTGCAGAGGAGTTAAGTGTTCAAGGCTTGAAAGTGGATGAGCTGGACTAATAAGAGGAAGAAGGTTGCAGAGGAGTTAAGTGTTCAAGGCTTGAAAGTGGATGAGCTGGACTAATAAGAGTGATGTGGACTAAGGACATCTCCAACCCAACTCCAATTTTTACTCCAAAATGGAGTAAAAGAGAATATGGAGTAAAATCACTCTAACCCAACTCTATTTTCCACTCCATAATAGAGTTTATTCCATAAATGGAATAATCTATTTTTTGTTTGTTCATTACTCCATTATGGAGTGGGATATGAAGTAGGGATTGAGCATTTCCACTCCATATTCACTTTTACTCTATTTTGGAGAGAAAAATGGAGTATTACATTGGAGATGCTCTAATAAGAGTGATGTGGACTAATAAGAGAAGCTGAGTCTATAAATAAGAGATAGTGTTTTTGCTAAAAAAATAGAGAAAGAGATAGTGTTTACATTTCGTTTTATGCAATTATAATTGTGTATTTTGTTTGACGCTATGAATCAGCAAGAGGTAATTATGAGATCTAGAGTAATATCGTTACATTTATATTGCATTTACACATCAATAAACGAGATACCATTCACATTCATAACAGTAGACCTGAGAAGAACTAAGTGCACGTTCCGACAAATACTCTATTCACCGGACTCAATACGGCATGTGTCATGACCACGTATACAAGTAAGTATTCGTTGACCAGTGCTCACATTTTGTTTTGAACACTAAAGACAACTAATGTTTAAACGTTTCTGTTACTACTATTATTATTCAGGGATCAATTTCATTTATTTTTGCAGTTAATGATTCTGATTAAATTTTATTAAATTCTCAAACCCTTAAGTGTCCGTGGAACATGGGCGGCGGACACCGACCATCTACGACTTCTCATGGTTAGATGACACGTTCGTGTGTCATGTGTGGCTCTTCAACTTATAAGTACTGAGTTACTGACTCTGACCCACCAATCGTTAGATTTCTTATTTCATTTATGTTTCTTCTTATGTTTGATTAGGATGATAGGGATTGCAAAAGACGGTGTGGCTAATACTCTATAGAGGATTGTTTGGAAAAATATAATCTGGAATGTGTCAGAAAGAGTTAGATCGGAACTCAAGAATGTCACTTAACTGGCCAGGAAAAGAGTAATAGAAATTGTTTTAATTTTGTCTCAAATTTGCTTTACCACTTCTTATTACTATAAAACGAATTCGATTGTTGACCAACATGTTAATCTAAAAAGCAAAATTTTAAAAATTAAATAGCTTTTCATGAATAATAACAAACTTGTGAAATAATATTAGTGTTGTAATCATTCAAACAAAGATATACAACTTGAAAATTTGATAATTTTTTTTTGTAAACTTAATTATTATTTTTGTAAACTAAAATTTGATAAATTCCCTAAGGAAATACAAGTGAACAATATATATATACATACATACATATATACATACATACATACATACATACATACATACATATATAAACGGCCAAATCTTTTGTTATTTAATTTTAAATATTTTCATTCAAAACTAATCAAACTTTAGAAGTTCATTAGTTTCAAAAATATATATTTACAACTCTAAATTAAAAGAACATAAACTAAACTAATGTAAATATCAGTAATAGAAGTAGCCGTTTAGTAGACATATTAACTGTCGATTTCTAATCCTGGAAACTATATAACTCTTTGATTCAAATACTTTCCTTTAATCATTTTGCTCTTCTAATGTTACCGTTTGATATACAAACGATCGTATTACTCACATATGAATCAAGTTACCGTTTTTCTTAAATATTCTTAGTAGTGTTTTCTTCTTAAGCATTAATAATAGAAATTTAATACTATAAACTTACTTTTTTCGTCCTTTTCGTGCCTTTACCTTTCCTTCTACTCTCAAGAAAGCACTGACTCTTCTTCCTTCCTCTGTTTCCTTTCATTCACACAAAGAGAGAAAGAAACAACGAAAACTTTTGACTAAAAGAGATGATGGAGTGGGACAATCAGCAGCAACGCAACAACCATAACTCTACAAATCTTCAAGGGATCGATGTTAATGGAGGCTCTGGCTTAGGAGGAATGTACGTGAAGGTGATGACCGATGAGCAGCTTGAAACCCTTAGGAAACAGATTGCTATCTACGCCACCATTTGTGAACGTCTCGTTGAGATGCACAAAACCCTCACTTCTCAACAAAATCTTCCAGGTTCTCTTCCATTTCTTGGTGTAATTACCGGTTTAAATCTTGAATCGGTTTAGCTTAGGTTCTTGTAGAATTCTGGAATCGATTTAACCATGACCGGTCCTAAGATTTTGAGGCTATAGACGATTAAGTAACAATTTATATAACTTTTGTGCCAATTTGGAAGCTTATATATTTATATATATTTAAAAAAAAATTGAGCAAGGGCGTAGGTTATATATATATATATATATATATATGTAATGTATAAAAATAATTGGATGACTATAAACTAATACTATTTCACTAATATTTCAGTTTTTTATTTAGTTCAACTTCAACAAGACAACAACTCTGTTTTATTTGTCTTGTTGGTGAGATTATTAGGTTTATATGCAGACCCAACGTTTGGTCATAAGATGACAGGGAGGCAAAGGTGGACTCCTACACCAGTTCAGCTTCAGATTCTAGAGCGTATATTCGATCAAGGCATAGGGACACCAAGCAAGCAAAAGATTAAAGACATAACTGAAGAGCTGAGCCAACACGGTCAGATTGCTGAGCAAAATGTCTACAATTGGTTTCAGAACCGGCGTGCTCGGTCCAAGAGGAAGCAGCATGGTGGTGTTGTTGGTTCTTCTAATAATAATAATGTTGAGTCTGAGGTAGAGACTGAAACTGAGACTTTGAATGAGAAGAGAAAGGTTCCAGAGAGTCTTCTTGTTCTTCCTAACAATGATATTGGGACAACAAGTACTAGTCCTAGGCCTGAAGATCTTTGCTTCCAGAGTCCTGAGATGAGTTCTGATCTTCACTTGCTAGGAGTCCTACCAAACCCAAGTAAGTTTTTTAGTAAAATGCAAAGACAAACACTTGTGACTTGTGTCCTGTACAATAATCAGAATTTGATGTATTTTGTAGGGGATGAGCATCTGGTTGGAAAGATGGGATTGTCTGAAAGCTATAACCTCTATGATCATGTTGAAGATTATGGCATGTAGGGATGATTCATACAAGCTGAGGGAGACTTCTAATAATCAGAGATAAAAAAAAATTGGTTTAGTAGTCAGTCTTAAGCAGTTTTAGACTCTTTTAATTATTTGTTTATGGGTGTTATAATCAGAGATCAAATCTTGTGATGCATGCTTTAATGTTTACTGCATTTAGAGTGATTCCTATCTCCTTTTAGCTATAATAATATTTTTTTTTTAAACTGATTTAGGTTTTATATATTTTTTTCTACCACAAGCTCCAATCCCAAGAGGTGCACTTTAGTTTAGTTTAAAAAACATGCCAACCTAACAAAGCTTTGTAATTCACATGGTGTATGACCAGAAAAAAACGACAAGGCGTTAACCAAGTAAAAATAACGACAAGGCGTTAATATACCTAAAGAAAAACGACATGTTGTTTTCTGCATTGAAGGTTTTCGTTGAAACGGCATACAGTCTGTAAAGCTTCGACCTTTTTTGATCTCCACCTCAGAGTAATCGTCTTCTTCTCTTCACCGGTTCAGATTTGACCCTTTCACTCCACTTTTTAAGATTTGGCCCTTTTGATCGTCAGCTCAGAGAGAAATCTTTTCTCTATTCTGTTTGAGATATTAGTAATTTTAATTTTCGAGATCATTGTGTTGAGATGATGGTGAAAATGTGGTTGTAATGCACACATGTTGTTCGACTAAATGCCACAGAGACATTGAATTTGAGGAAGAGACTCAAAGTCTGAAACTTTTTTGCTTGGGTTTTGAGAAGCTGGTCTCCTCTGTATTGGGTCAGGCTTTTATATGTATAAGGAGTAAACGAGAGTGTTGAGAAACTAAAAACCAGGTTTTTTGGATGGTGAGCTCGTCTTTATCGGATAAGAGATACATTTACATACACGAAAGTGGAAGTGAGGCAAGTAGAGGAGTCATTGACATTCACCATGTGATCATCAAAGGAAGCAGAGCAACTAGTTGTCTTAAGGGGCTAGCTTTCTTCCTTGTGGGTTTGGCTATTATCATTTACTATCTTCCTGGAAAGGTAATGACATGTTTTGTTATTACTTGTGAGTAGTATTTTTCTGAGTCATTGCTTCAAACTAGTGCTGTTAGTGCATAGTATGATAATTTTTGTTTCTTTAGTTAAGGGATCGATCATAAGACATTATAGAGCTATGTTTAATACATGACAAGTTTTGCGTAAAGCACGTGTCTTAGTTTGTATTTTACTTTACAAGGTTGTTTTGTTGATGTTCCATCTGTATCTTCTTTAGAACTGTGTATCTGTAAAAGGGTAAATTCACATGAAACAGGACAATCCAGGTAGGACTCTTTCTTGGAGCTGTCTATTAAGTGGCTTCTTTGTTATGATACAAAGTCGGAAGTTCGTCAAGAAAGGTGAGGAGGTCTTGTTACAAACACTGTTTAAAGTTTTCATCAAATGATTTTTAGTCTTCACATCCTTTTGAAACTGATTCTTTTCTTACTTGAGCTGTTCAGAATCTGTTATAATCATGCCAACCTTTGGGATCCAACTTGAAACTCAATATTTAAGGTATGCTTTGTCTGTTTAGTTACATATTGTCTGCACTCCATGATGAAATAATGCTTTGAACTATACATCTTATTAATTGGTCTGTTAGAGAGGAGGAATCAGTTGTAATTCTCATGAGTTTACGGGTTTCTGCTATGCAGTGGAAAAACTGTTTCCAGGTTTATCCCTATTGGTAAGATCTTGAAGCCTGTGCTTGTCGAATGTGTCACCCCTGTTACATGTTATTGGAGTCTCTCCTTATTTCTACGTGGCGAAGAACAGCTTACATTGGTGTTTAAGGTAATGCAAACAGTTTTTCTTTTGCAATAGATTGTGATAAATTTCTTTTTATGACAACTTTGAGAGATTCTATTCTCTGTACAGGAACTGCGTCCTTCAATGAAGATGTTGGTTCCCATTTGGAAGGCATTGTGTGGTGTTATTGGCACAGACCAAAGTGAAATGATTACTGAAGAACATGTTGTATCTGGTTAAGCATCTACGTGTGAAACATCTGCTGCCAGTACAAGCTGACAAACATGGGAGATCCGTTACAAGACACATTAACTTGAGAGCTCAGAGAACTTGTAGATTTCTTGCTTATCGGTAGTTTTACTTGAAAATGATAACACAACTTGTGAATTTTTTTCTCATCCCTCACTAGCTTTTTCATGAACAGTCTTTTGGACCATGAATCATTTCTCGAACTGTTTTTTTTGGGTATATAATGATTGAATGCGAAGAGTACAATGGGTTATATCCGTTTGCAAAACTCAAATGTGGTATTAACCTAACTACTATATATATTCAAGATTTACAGTGTGACTATAGCAAACTGAAAAAGTAGTTATTTACCGAGCCTATGGCATCAAAGGCTACACGTGGAACTTTTTAGCTTTTAGCTTCATCTAAGCGTGACTTAGCACGATCAAGTGTGATTTCTCTGCGTTCGAACCCATGCCACGGTTGTCTGGAATCGAGCTTTGCTATCTGTCTGTGTAATGCCTTCAAATTGACTAGAGGAACTGTCGTTGGTCGCCCATGAGCACACTGTACACATAAGTAATGGGTTGATTTGATTAGAAGATGAATCCCTTTTAGTAAAACTTTTATGTTTCTTTACTTACCTGGAAACACAGTGAGGTCTGCTTCAGTCCTTCAATGATTAAAGAGCATTCCGAGGGTAACAGAGAATCTCCGAACATAATTGCACCTTAGCAGTTGTAGAAAACAACACAATTAGTAGTGAAACTAAGTGATGAATGGTAGTCACTAACTTATACATACAAAAAGATTCTGGAGAGATCAGGAATATACATACCTCTACATGCTTTGGAGTTGAGGACTCGAAGAACAGATGGAGGAATAGTTGATGATCCGTCAGTATCAGCAAGCTGGTTTAGCAGAAGTTGAGTAAGAATCTTAAAGTAAGAAGGTAAGTCATGTGCTTATACGTGATTTTGAATCTACCTGCTGAAGAAACTCTAATAGATCAACATCTGATAGATTTACACCCAGAATGCATGGGACCTACAAGTGGTGTAAACAAAGTGATCATTCAAGTGGCCCATATAGAATCCTACAGAGATCAGAATAAAAAGGTTAGACTAGGAGTCTAACCGCATTAAGTGTGATTGGAGTTGCTTTACGTTGAAGGATGCTCATGTTCCTGTAGAAAAGGAAAACATTAATCATGGTGCACAATCTAAAACACTCAATCACATATGTTGCCTCATCGATGATCGATCAAGTAAAAGAAAAAGGTATTGCATAGTGATGAGACAGCAAGATTAAATTTACTTCTTAAAAGACGTTGACCCTTCTGCATTAATGCTGCAGATCCAACCCCAGTCTCTTATCTGGTCTGAATAACTCTGGAGTAACTGATAACCCATCTCTGGCAGGACCTTTAATGTCAACATTTAGATATTACTTATGGATGAGTAGACTACTCTAATTTAAATCCAGCAGATGATGATGTTATCTAGCATCATGTTCAAACATACCAACTCTTTGTCTGCACTCAGATATGTGACTGTCCTTGCTTGTCCCGCCAGGACCTGTAATTTCATTTCTTGTCAGTTGATAGAAGCACAGTATTATCCAAACTGTGAAACACAAGAAGCGTAGTAAAAAGAGCTTAAGGTTCCAGGATGCTTTTACCTTTTTACGCAGCTCTTCCAAGCGAATTCTTTCATCAGCAGCATGCTGTAAGAAAAATGATAGCAAGACATTTATTGAGAACAATGGGTTCAACAACTTATGTTGTCCTAGTTTGAAGATAATCCTCGACCATATACCGACAAAGTGTCTAGACTTTGAGATAAATGAGAAGAAAGAGATGATATAGGATGAACCTGATCAACGATGGCAACTGTTCCACAAGCAACAATTGGGATATATTTTTTATCCACCTGTTGTAGAACCTTAGCATTCTCAAGGGACTGTCTGTTTATAGATTCAGGAACCAAGGACTCATCGGATCGCAGGTGCAAAAGTCCTGAACATATATCAAGTACACTATCTTGATCATGTAGCTCGTGTGATTCCTTGGCAACCTGGAGCAAGGAAAATATTATGGATACTCAGTTGTCTTCAATTGTTTAGTCTATTAAGCAAAAAAAAAAAAAAAAAAAACATTTCAATCTGCTTATAACCTGAGAGGACGGACAGTTATGGCGCCATTTCGTTGTGGATTTAACTGGATCCAGATTTTCTTGTGAGCTTAAGTCTGTGACATAGGTAACATAAGTTAATTACTCCACATGAAAAAGGGGATACAAAGGAAAACTTGTCAAGTAGCACAATCTGATTGATAACTACACCGACATAGAAGATACAAAAAGTGCCTTAATTACCTACCAAAGAGACACACACACAGCTCATTTAAGATTAATATTTACCTTCGTCTCCATCCTCATCTCGAGTCTCCGAGTGCAAAATACTGCAACCAGCAGATGCTTTCAAGTCTGAGGCCGAACTCATACTTTTTCCTGGTTCTTGTAGGTGGTCATATGACACATCATCAAGGATGCTGGACTTAAGATGCATATGTGATGCATTACAGGGTTGTGTCAAGCACTCCAAATCATCAGGTTCTGCAGAAAGTTATCCGTTGTTCATTTCTTTTCTACAACATTCTCAAAACTAAAACAACGGTAGCAATAAAATAATCACACATGAAGAAAAGAAGAACAGTAGTAAGAACCTGATGGATCAGAGCTCTTTAATTTTGTGTCTGATCTGAAACTTAAACTGACAAATCTCTTTTTCTCTTGATAAAATGGAGGAGCAGAGCGGCTTCTTCCTGACCTTCGTTTACCAACATTATTCTTCGAACCATACCTATAACTAAATTTGTCTTTCATGATACTATGTTGTTCAATACCCATATTATCTGCATGCCCCCACAGTGACTGGAAAATCTTTTCACCTGACTCAGTGCAATTCTGAATATCTGCGAAAGAATCTGTGCTGGTTTTCCGGCAATGGATTTTAGGTATGGCCTCATGATCAAATTTGACGTTGTCTGCTGCACTGAGAAAAGAACCAGGGTCAGGCATCCTTCCCAATTCCAAACTCCCTTCAAGAATTTGACAACCTTCCCGATAATCAGACTCCCACTCGGCCGCAGGAGATGTGGAGAACACTGTAGAGCACTCATAACTCAAACGGAAACTACCAGGACCAGACCTTCCGACATTGACTGAGGGGGAGTAGCTTTTCTTGACAAATTTGTCTTCATAAGGACAAAATTTCGCAATGTATATGGGGTTGATGCTAAAATCTTCTCCAATTCCAACACTTGTATTGTCCACGGAATCTTGTGGATTAAACCAATCAGTATCTTGCCATGAACTCCCTAGGGAAAAATCAGGAGTTCTGGTCATTTCATGAAATCCAAGAGTGTCAGAAAGAACATCACAGTACGAACCACCTTCTCTGGACTCTAGGACATGAATCAGTGAATTCCTTCGTTTGTCATCAAGTTTGATGCCTGATTCAGACACTTCATCATGAGATAGTTTCGGCTCGTGAAGGGATAGCCTTCCTCTTGAGGAACAGCCCCGCAAAAGATGCTTTCCAATGCGATCGCTGGCAGTCGACTCATCGTCAACTTCTTCAAACTGAAAATTTAATACGTCTGTATCTTTCATAGAATCATTGTAGACATTGAGAGGTATGCTATTTTGGCGTCTTGTTAGAAACTGTTTGCTGCACTTAGCGCCAGAAACCAAGCTTGTTTCTATGAGGTCAGTAACTTGTGGAAAGTCTTCATTCTTTTGCATATCGATGTCACATGGCTGTAGAAGAGAAGCAGTCTGACGGTCAAATTCAGCTACAGTATCTTGCTCTATAGGATTCTGAACTTTCACTTCACGTTCATATTTTGGAGACCATTCCTCCTTTCCATGCGAAAAATAACCATCATCTCTTTTAAAGTCACCAGACGGGGACAAGAGGAAACTATAAGGTGTTTGATCATTACTTCTCTTGCGCTTCTTTTTTGTAGGTTCAATAGTTTCTGGCCATTCTGCATCCAGAAAAAATTAAGCATTGGTAAGAGCTGCCTGGAAATATAAAGGGACGAACAATAGATGCTGCCCCGTTCCACTAAGTAAGAACTATTGTCATATAGATTTTTGAGTACCTTCTTGAAGTTTACTCATGTCATCAATCAGGTCTGGTCTATCACCTTTTGCCAGCAGATCAGCTCCCCCATCACAAATTTCTAAGAAAAAAAAAGCAAGAAAGCATTGAAAAGGACCAGAAATATAAGGGTTACTATCATAGCTTGATAAAAGCGTGGCATACCAAGAACCTCTTCTTTCTTCCAGTTAGCTAGAATGATCCTTTCTATTAAGGTAATTAGAGGTTCCCAGTTCTGCCACAGATAGAGATCCAGACAGTTATTAAAATATATAAAAATCTAAATAAGTTTAGATCACAAGAGAAATTTAATACCTTGAACTCGACGTTTGTCTTTGATGGTTCAAATGAGAACTCATAAAGATGGCGTGGACATGTTATGCACAATATGTAACCAGGATTGGATTGAAGTCTGCTACGTCGCCCTGTTTGTAGCCCATCTGTAGGCTTCCAGTCATCCGTACAATCAAAACTAGCAGCCAAGTTGTTCAGCAGCTTATGTATGGGACCTTTGCTTACGAATCTTGAATTGATATCTGTCACCGTGAAGGCCACACAACCTTAGGCAGAAACTTCCTAACTTGAACCGCTCACAAATAAAAAGATGAAGAGAAAAGGATACATATATACTGCAAAGCCTGCAAGGAAAATACCACAATAATAGAGAAAGATGAGACTCAAGGTCACAATCTGACAAACAAAGACAATGGTTATGGAGCCAAACTTACCTTGAAACTATCTGCCGGACCAGATATATACCCAGAGACATTCAACATACCATCTGTAACGTTTACTTTACAAAGAGTATTCAAAGCTTCGGTCCCTGCATCTCTCATCAGTAGCGAAAATGCTGAAGCAGAAGGATTGGCTTTGAAAAGCTCTTCATCACTGTAACAAGGAAACAATCAGAATGACTGAGTTCATAAGGATCTTTAAATGAAAGTAGGAAACCCACCTTTCGATATCAAGAACACTGAAGGAAACATTCGAGTGCACAAGCGCAATCCGGAACACACACTTTGTTATAGATTCCAACACTTTCTTAGGGCTTCCGTTGCAAAAAACAAAAGAAAAACAGAGAGAAATAAATATTGGCATATTCACAGAACTTTAGACAAGTCGAAGATGAACGCAGATGTCTAAGTGTCAAAGAAATGAACCTGGATCGCATATATTTTTGTCTCACTGGTTGATTGTAAAACAGATCTCGGACAGTAACTGCATCAACCAGATCAACATCAGAAGTAAATCATGCCCTTGGCCCCTTGCCAATGTAAACCAAAAATTATCCAGATGCATTTTCTCCATCGTAAATGACAAATAATAGTACTTAAAAAGCTTAGTTTCACTATCTGATAAGCATGACAGAAAAAGCAATGGTGACAAAAAGAAACATTACCAGTCGTGCCAGAGTCTTTTCTACCATCGTCAATTCCTAGATGTAAACACTTGGATCCCTAAAAACCATTATGTGATGAAGTTCAAAACCATAACCAACGTCACATAGCTCAAGTAAGAGTCTTGAGTTCACATACCTTCATAACCTTCCGATAACCATTAGGCTTCCCAACAGCTTTACTCGTGATTTCCATCAACGAGATATCTGATATGGAAGCCAAAGCCTCTCCTCTGAATCCAAAACTCTCACTAGCTGTCTCCACATTAATGAAGTCTTGAAACTTCGAAGTAGCTGATTTTCACACATTGCTCATGATAAGTTTCTTAATCAAACGAAAAAAACTAACAAATAGCTTTTACCAATCCATTAAACCTAACTACAAGATGAGAACTTACCATATCTTTCTCCTAACAAAACCAAATCATCTCTAGAAACGCCAGATCCTGAAAATCAAATTACTATTCAATTATTTGCCAGATCCTGAGAAGTAATACCGGTTTATTCTAACTATACAATCAAACCGGTTTAATAACATCAATCATAGTAGAGCTATACTCCTCACCATCATCCACAACCTTCACAGAGCATGTAACAACCCCGACGAAGATTGACACCTGTCAACAGAGATTTTCGATTTTCAATTTTCAATTACAAACAAGTTTATCCAGAATTAAAAGATAATCGATTCGATTACGGTTTGACCTTGGTCGCACGAGCGTCGAGGCTGTTGAAGACGAGCTCCTCCACGACCCTCGCCATGTCGAACATGATGATCCCGGAGCGCATGGAGTGACGAACACCTTCCGGCAACGGCTTGATCGTCTTCATCTCTCTCGCACCGTTTCTCGCTCAGTCACACTCTCTAACGGGAAAATGGAGGGAAAATAATCGTGGGAATTGGGGATTTAGGGTTTTTTCAAAACGACGGCGTTTTGTGTTTGTTTTTTATAATGTGTGTGAATATTACTTCTTTCGGGTTTTATCTTTTGGTTTAATCTCTTTTTAACCCCGTAGAAAGAGAACCTTCTAAATCTAACCCTAGTGGTGTTGAGGGTTGTTATATAGAGCCACCAGATTAGACCACCGACGACTCTCGAAATTTTTATTCCAAAATTAATTTCATTAATTAAATATGGATCCGCAAAAGGCTAATTAACAGCTACAAAACATATACTACTAATTAATTTGGCTAAGCTAGCATACTTTCTTATTTGGGATGGACGTTTGGATATCCATCCGATTTGGTTCAGATTTATTCGGGTTTCAAACTTTTGGGATTAAAGATTTCAGTTTCATTCGGGTATTTATAAACTTTAGTTTTGTTCGGATTTTTACAGGTTCAGTTCGAGTTCGGATAACCCGTTAAAGTTTTTTTTTTAAATTTCAAAATTCATATATACTTTAAATTTCAAAATATAAAAACAAAAAGGATATATAACATATAAATTTGAGTATTGCACGCCAAGATATTTTAACTTAACATAAAATTTGGTTTGATTTGGATATTTGGAATCCAAATTTTAGATAGATAATTAATAGATATTTTAAGTATTGAAGTTGTTTTTAGTATTGTTTATCTACTTTAAATATATGCTTTAATTTTGACTATATATATTTTCAGATATATATGGACAATCTCAGAATATTTTATACATTTTTTATACTGTTTTGATAATACATCTAAAAATAGCTAATATAATCGAGTATATATATCTAATTCAGATATATTCGGATACCCGAAACATTTCGGTTCGGATCGGACTCGGTTTTCGTTCTCTAGATATAAAATTTTTAAACCCATTCGGATATTTAGCCAATTTCGGTTCGGATCTGATACTACTTTTTTAGATAAGATTCGGTTCGGTTTTCCAGGTTCGGATCTTTTCCTAGCCCTACTCTTATTTATGATAATACTATAATACTTGTATTTAACCAAAATTCTTATCGGAAAGAAATAATTTTAGACATATATGATAAATTGAATTGTAAAAAAGTTGATACAGATATATCAATGATACTGAATGTTGATGAAATATCAACTATGAATTTGGTCAGACAGTGATTTGATAAATACGATGAAAATAGTTCATTGTTTTCGCTTTTTAAATGATTTCATTAACCTTTTCTGGAGTCTGATGAGGCTGAAATGGCACTGCAAGTGGATGGTGAAGTTGACTATCTCTGCCAAACTAGTAGGGAATAATGATCATTAATCTATATCGGATTAAGTTTTAATCATATTATCTTTTTTTCCAAACTAAATATCGGATCGACCACTTTGCTTTGGTATTCATCCACCATAAATTCTATATCACGTCAATGATCTGGTACCTACTTACGTTTAATAAGTTTCATATTTCAGATTTTTAAAATATGATTTTGTTTAAATTTCTTTTTGTGTAGTTTTTATCATCTCTTGTATAATTTTATAGGAAATATTTTTGAATTAGATTAGTAATTATTTCGAACTAAGGTTGTAGCGATTATATGATGTAAGAATTTTGATCATATAATACATAAGTTCGTGCCTATTATCTTCAGCACGTTTCTCGATCGCTGATCCTCCTACATATCGTTTTGTGTAGTTTAAAACTTTGTGCGTTGTTCATAACATTAGTTGATATCTAGATGACACGAAGCCAATTTAAAAGCATATTAAAATCGAATATTCTATGAGGTTTTACCCCCAAAAAGAAACTATTCTATGAGTTTCTTTCAAATAGTGTGATTAGTATTTACGAACCATGTTCACATTATGACACCAGAAAGAGACAGAAAAAAAAAAAAAAAAGAGTAACACCGTGAAGAAAGAAGGAAAGAAAAACATGACGGCCGTTATTATGGTTAGACGGAGGAATGTCAGACTCCGACCAGCTGGTGAATTGTCTTCTGCGGTTCTTTGTCAATGTCATGTAATGAAAAGAGATAACTGTAAAAAAAAAGGAAAAAAATTATTAAGTGATAATTAGAATGAAAAATGAAAAATAAAAAATAAAAAGAGAGAGTTGATTGTTTTGTAGGGTTTACATATAAAACTGAAAAATTGGAAACAAATCTCTCCTCCTCTCTTCCTCCATTGCCATTTATCTCCTTCTTTCTCTCTGCAAACCCTAATTCTCCTTTCTCATCTTCCTTTTATTTTCCCTAGAAACTGGAGACAATATAACATAACATCAAAACTGTTGCAATTCATCTTCTACAGAAACGTAGAGGTAAAAATTGAATTGTTTGTTCATATGGCGCACATACTCTGTTTTTTTTTCTTATATGATTCTTGTTTTGCTTCAATGCTCCGTAATTCCTTTTAATGATCGAATATTTTTCAGCTGTTCATGTCAAAATTTTACTGCTTATTATGTTTGTTAATCATGAGATTTAAGGATGTATATTTGAAAAAAAAAACAGGATCTGTTTATGTTCTGTCTTAACGAATGATTGCATCAAAAATCGATCTTTAAAGATATGATTTAAAATAAAAAATCTGAAGAAATCAGCTAATGAGATCAGATTGTTATATACTCTGATCTCATTACATAATTCGTAGTTTTCAGATGCATTTTAATCTGATTTATTACAGCGTAGGAATCAAGAAACTAACTAACTCGTGTTCTTGTTTCTCCGATTTGGGGTTTTTATTAGCTTTTGATTAAAAAATGGAGATGAGTCAGCTCGATTCCGATTTGCGTCTCCCTCCTCGTAAACGTTTACTTGCTGGTTACATGAAACTAAACGGATCTTCTTCTTCATCATCTGCTTCTCCTTCCTCAACTTCAAACTCAAACGGATCCTCCTCCTCTGCTTCAACCTCTCGTTTCCAGAATCAGTCACAAGAAGAGCTCGTGGAGGCTGCGAGATCCGCAGCTGCGAAAGCCGTTAAAGCTGCAAAGGCAGCGAGGGCATTGGCTAACGAGAAGGCTTTAATTTCCGCAAAGAAGATCGCTGCAGCCAAGAGAGCATTGGAGCTCGTTGATTCTTTCCCTAAAGAACCAATGGCTGATTGCAAGGAGAAGGAACATGTTTCTCTGAGGTATGAAGAAGAGGATTTAGCGCGTAGGTTGCAGCGAGCTATCGACAGAAGGTACCCTAAAGTCTTGGCAACTCGCGAGGAGAATGGTCAGATAAATAAGAAACAGAAGATGAACAATACAGTAGCTGAAAATGGGAGTAGAGTGAATAGTTATATGAATGGTAATGTTGGAGTTGTGGATTCAGACAGCTCGTACGACAAGGCTATTAAGGATGAAGTGGATTGGATACCGACACCAGGGAAGGAGAAAGGAGAGGAACAAAGAAGAGGGAGAGTGAAGTTAAAGAAGTTTCCATTGAGCATTTGCAATTCTAAGGGTCAAGAAAATGGTATCTCCTGCGAGTCTCTGGTGCCAGTGGCTCAGACACCAGAGGATGGTGTTGTCTCGGTCTTATTGGGATCGTCTTCACGGAAATGTGAGGACCTAAAGGCTCCAGAATGTGTGAAGCAAAACAAAGCCATACGGTCATAGTTGAGTTTTGTATGCAGAAGAAAAATACTTTTTGATTCAAGTTTTGGTTAGTAGAACAATCACATTTGTTGTTTATTCATATATGAATGAATTGTATTTGCAATTACGGTGTTGTAGAATAAGGTTTGGTGGTATTTGGATTCATAGACGAGGTCGAATGTAATGAAGTGATGATGTACTCTTTTTTGTGTTGAATATTATTCTTTCCGTTTCATGTTATATGTCAGTTATTTTTTTAACACTGTTAAAAATAGTTAATGTTTGATTTTGTTCTTATTTAGTTATTAGAATTCTATCATATATTCTCTATGTTTTTTAATATATGTCGTTTTATCATTCGACACAAAAATTAAGAAAACATCTATTTTTTATATATTCTAAACAAAAACAATCATTAATCATTTACCTAATCACAATTTAACAAATAACAAAATAGGTAAAATATACTATTGGTCATTCAATATTAACTATTACTTCTTCCCTTTTATTTTAGTTGAAATTTTAGGTTTTTTTACATATATTTAAAAATATTTATTTTTACATATTTTTAAGATAAAACACAATTACTTATACACCTAATCATTTTTTCAACCAATAAAAAATAAAATAACATATAAAATCAATAAATTTTGCATTGAAATTATAAAACGACACTTATTTTTAAACAAAAAATTTACTCCACAACGATAAATAAATTGAAACGGAAGAAGTAATAGTTTTTACTTAGAAAATTAAAAACGTCATCTATTTTTTTTTTAAAAAAAAATCTCCTAAACCGTCAAATATTAAAAACAGAGGAAATATTATTTAAAAAATTTAGTTATAATAACGACCCTAAATTTTATTTTAGAACTATAATTAATTTGCAACTGAGTGCGTATGTTTTTATTTATTAATGACCCATTTTCCATGTGCTTCAGAAACAATTACTCAGCTGGGTAATGGTTTGACACCAAAAAAACACAGAAAGTTAGTTAAATTACAAAGAAAAGGCATATTTCTATGGATCCATAGACTGGATACAGAGTGTCACGTGTAGATCCACGTGCTGTTATGGAACGTGTGAGACAGTCAGGCACACAATGAGAGATATATAAACATACAAATCTGTGAAGAATGAAAACAAAAGCTCCGTCATGCACGTCACATGTGGTCTGAAAGTTAAAAACATCTGGCCATGTCGCTTTTAGATTTACCAATAAGTCATCTTTATTTCAGTTTGTACTTTATACAAACTAAAAATTTTAGTTTCACCACTTAGGATGTTTTTACTTCTAAAAGTATTTTGTTTTTAAGCGAGAGAAACTAGGTACTGAATGATATGAGTATTTTGTTCAACATACAGTAAATTTTGTTACTTCAATAGATACGTTGACAATGACATGTTTAAAATGGGACTTGTTTTTTGCATGGACCATTGATTTATCATGTGTGTCCCTATATAACTACTTGAGTACATAAAAGAATTCAAAAAGTAAATGGTGCCGACAAAAAGAGAAACCGCAGTGATGAGTAAAATAGTCATTCAGTATTCAGTAAAATGGTATGTATTTTACAACTTGTACAGAAGATCAATTGTGTGTTTTCTTTAGTTTCTATACGCTTTTAGTGAAAATTATTTTTTTTGACAAAGTTTTTTTATAGTATGGATTACTATTAACTAAAATCATATGTGTTACATATCTTGCATAGTTTTTCAGTTTTGTATATCCTACGTCTAAATCAGCTCACTGATGGATTCACTTAACAATAACTACAACAAAGATTTTTTTTTAGTTTTGTCAGTCATACATTATGCACACAATGAATTGGGATGGTGACGCAAAACTTTAACTAGATCCAGTACCGGTCTTGACATGGGAAAGACCAGAAGCAATTTTCTAAAAATTGGCCATTTTTATAAGAACGTTTATATACTATAATAATAATTTTCTTATAAAAGAGGCTGAATTTTTCAAAAAAATTTTGAGGGCCGGAAGCGGTTGCTTGTAATGCTTCCTCTCAGGGCCGGTACTGACTAGATCACTAGCTAGTACGTATTAAATAAGAAGATGAAACATCTTTGTTAGTCGATTCATTCATTCATTACAAGGGATTTCTTTATAAGCAACAAATGAACTCGATGTTCAACAATTAAACAAAGAATATCCAAACTGCTCAAAAAGAAAACATGTATGACAAAGAAGACGAAGTTGGAGTTTCTTTCACCCTTTGATATGCAAGTTTCTCATTTGAGATTCTACATTATATGTACTGTTCTGTGTCCACTGCTGAGCAGTTGGTCGTTTCTCTGGAGTCTGGCACAAAGTCAAGAATAGGACTCGGAACTCTGCAAACTCCTTTGCTTCTGCTTCCGGAAGCTTGTACTTATTCACTTATCTAGTGGTCAATACTTCAACCGACGGATCCTCTTTAAGTCCCCATGTCTGTCAAAGTAGTCTTTAGACCTTGCTCCACCAATAGCAATCTGCTCAATCAAACCATGACAAGAACCCAGTAAAAGAAACACAGGGCAGAACCGGGACATAGGCCACTGAAGAATTGGTCCATAGCCTCAATTTTTTAAAAGAAAATTACATAAACATATCCCTTATAGATTATTTGATAAATGATTTTGACAAATGTCATTAGCACATTTATTCTCACCAAGAAAATGATGATATGGCTTGCAAAAAAAGATGACATGGCATCAATTTAGTTATGGCATGTAAATTTTTTTATAAAACTTTAGAATTTTTGGAAAGACTTTTTAAATATGGTATTGCTAATAACTTTTATACTATCATTATAAAATAATTTTTATGTATAAATATTTATTTTTGAAAGACTTTTGACATATATTAATAACAAATAAATTATATATCACCATTACAATAATATATGTATATATATAACATTAATGAACAAATCAACTAAATATAAGTACATTGTAAAAAAGTCACATTAACTTATATATCCTATTTTATAAATAAACATACATAGATTAAAATTAATTCTAAATGCGCTTTCAAATACAAAACTAAAGTAATACTAATCAAATAAAAATATTTGTAGATAATTAATGTTTAAAAATTAATTAGCATTTATTTGTTTACTAACTAAATTAAAATTTGATTTTTTATCATTTTAACATATTTGAAATAAAAAAAAAGATCTAAACTTATTAGAATTTATATATTTTAAGTATAGACATACTCAAAATTAGGGATAAACGACATACTTGAAATAAGTAATTATTAATTATAATATAAGTAAAATATAAGTAAAATTGTGTTTGTAAAATATAATTTAAATTTATTATAATTTAAATGAAATAAAATGATATAGTTAAACTAATCAGAAGTAATAAATGTTCAAAATAACATTTAAGTAAAATTTGTGAAGTTAAAATATAAAAATAATAACGTCACAAAGTAAATTATTTTTTAGTATAAAATAATATTATTAAAATTATTATTTCTGCACATAGTACATAAAAACTTTTAGTAAAACCTTTAAATTTGTAAGAAAATTTTTTCCACTAAAATGTTAACAAAATCATCTACCGCATCTCATTTTCCAAAAATTTCAGAACCGGCTCAATCAAAATATGTCAAAAACACAATAAAAGAAACATAGGACTGGTCTGAGACATAGGCCGTTGAAGATTGGTCCATAGCTCCAAAACTTTTGAAGAAAATTAGACATATAAGCTCCTAAGCATTTTACCTAGGAGCTCCATCATTCCCCATGGCAAGCTCGAAAGCCGTACAACCAAAAGACCACATATCAACAGAGAATGAGTATCCTGACTTTAGTATCATTTCAGGAGCTCTATACTGTCTAGTTTGTATCTCTTCCGAAACTGTTTATCACCCCAACAAGCCTTACCAAAGTCAACCACTTTGCATCTCATATCAATCCCATCAAGACTCCTCTCTGCCTTTGATGATCCTTCTCCACTACCAACCATTGAAACTCTTCTTTCTAATATTTAGTAACTGCTCTTTTGGCTCTCTTTCTTTCGCCGAATCCAAAACCGAAAGAATCCAAAACCAAATGAATATCCAAATTTCTATAATATAGAAATTTTTTAAATATTAACTTTATTTAATTTTAAAATAAGCAAATTGTTTAAATATCATTTATAAATCCAATTACCTAAAATGTTAAATTGCCAAAATGCTTTATATCAAAATATTTAAATTATCCATCTTAACCAAATTTTTATCTGAAAACTCAAAAAAACCTGATATTTAATTTTTTAAAAATCTATTTTTTAGACTTTTTAACCCGATTGATAGATATAACTCAGAACTCAATGTGATCTGAAACTATTTTGGATAATAACAGGTTCTTAACTTAATTTACTCGATCCGGACCAAAAAATGAAATAACCAAAACTGAACCAAATTTTCTAAATACAAAATGGATCCTAAACTGGTCCAAACTATTTGAGATTCATGTTTCTAAATGATCTTAGATCCCATTTTTCCTTTTCAAATCACTAACCTTTGGACAAACAAGCTAAATTTACAAACAAAAAGAAGAAAAACAGTCATACATTCACAGTCTTAAACTTCCTACTTCAGAACAGAGTGTTGTCCTTTTAATCTAAAGGAACCAACTTTCGAGCTCAACAATCAAAGAGACAACATTCCACAACAAAACAGAATCTCTACTTAGATTCGTAATGATAATTGCAATGCCTTGAAGCTCGACCATCCATTGAAACAAAAGCAAAAAAGACAGAGTAAACAGAGCAACCTCACATTCATGCTTATTAGAGAAAACAAAAACAGAGTGTTGCCTGTTAATCTAAAGGAACCAACTTTGAAGCTCGACGATCAAAAGAGACAACATTCCACAACAAAACAGAATCTCAGTTTCAATCTCTACTTAGTTTCCTAATGATAATTGCAATGCCTTGAAACTCGACCATCATCCATTGAAACAAAGTAAGAAAAAACAGAGTAAACAGAGCAACCTCACATTCATGCTTATTAGAGAAAACAAAAACAGAGTGTTGCCTGTTAATCTAAAGGAACCAACTTTGAAGCTCGACGATCAAAAGAGACAACATTCCACAACAAAACATAATCTCTACTTAGATTCGTAATGATAATTGCAATGCCTTGAAGCTCCACCATCCATTGAAACAGAGTATGAAAACACAGAAAACAGAGCAATTCAACATTCATGCTTATTAAAAAAAAAAACATTTTCGAATAAAAAAACACTCTTTCACTCCAAATCCTGAACAATCTTAATCCCCATAGAGTTAGCAGTCCCAACAATCGACTTACAAATACTCTCCAACGGCATATACCCACAAAACGGATCACTCTGCTTCACCTTCGCTATCTCATAAACATGCCTCACCGACAACGTCGTCACCGTCAAGTGCCCCGGCCTCGTGCTCCCTTTCTCCACCCCCGCCGCCTTCTTCACGTACCACGACACCGACGGAGACTTCACCGTGAACTCGAACGAGTTGTCCTTGTACGCCGTTATCTTCACGGCCATCGGAGTCTCCGGTTTGTACTTTTGCGTCCGCGCGTTGAAGTCCTTGCAGAACGCCATCAGGTTCAGACGGTACTGACCTAGCGCCGGGCCCACGGGTGGTGCTGGTCTTGCTCCTCCCGCTGGGACTGTTAGCTTGATGGTCGCCGCCACGGCTCGTCGTGTCGCGATGTCTTTCGCAGCCGCCGCCATTTTGTGTGTTTTGGATCGTGATGAGAGGTTCCGTTTACGAGGATCCGAGGGTTTTTACAAGGTGTAGAGTTTGGAGGCTTGGGTTTTGATTTGGGCCTTTACTTGGGCTCGCTAATCGTGTAGACTGTAGTATGGTTTGCCTTTCCTCTAGGAGTGTTCAATTAGACTTTCGGTTTGGTTTGAGTTCGGTTTTTTCGGTTTTTTAGTATGTTGGTTTATAAAAGTTAGCTACCCTATTAATACTATATCTATTTTGATTTAGTTTGGTTTGGTTTGGTTTATATATTAGCAGTTTTTGGTTTCTTCAGTTTATTCAGTTAATATACCGAACCATTTCTATATACTCTGGTTTCTTAAAATTAACATACATTGGTATTCGGTACTACTAAATTTAACTCATTTTTCTGTTTCGATTTGGTTCAGTTTAATTAATTTACTTTTACCGGATTAGACACTTTTTTCGGCTCATAGTTTTCAGTTTAATTAGTTTATTTTTATATTTGGGCCTTTACTTGGATTCGCTAATCATATAGTATGGTTTTCCTTTCCTTTAGGAGTGTTTTAATGTTGTTTCGGTTTTTGGTATTTCGGTTTATACAAGTTGTCTACCATATTAATACAATATTTATTTTGGTTTGGTTCGGTTTATATATTAGCATTTTATTTATTTATTCTGTTTGATCAGTTTATATAACGTATCATATTCATATACTGCGATTTTTAAAAATTAACATCTATTCGGTTTATTCGGTACTACCAAATCTAAACTATTTTTTCTATTCTGGTATGGTTTTAAAATTTTCTATCGAATGTTGATTCCATTTTCTCGATTTTTTTTTTGGTATTTCGGTTTATAAAAGTTAACTATCACATTAATATAATATTTATCAATTTATATATCGAATTTTATCTATATACTGTGATTTTTTTAAAATTAACACCCATTCAATTTACTCGATACTACCAAATCTAAATATTTTTTTTCTATTTTAATTCAGTTCGATTTTAACGGATTAAACACCTCTAATTTTATCGGATTAAACACCTTTAATTTCCTCTCATAGTTTTTGTTTGATAAATAAGGTTATTGCGATTGCATCGATCGTTTTGTGGCGTCATGTATATAAATGTTGACATTAATTATTCCATGGACCAAAAAGTCAACACAAGTTAGCGCACCGACAATTACATGAATGTTGCTTGCGTTATAAACATGGAGACATAGAGTACACGTAACGAGCAAGAGGCGTGAGTTTGACTCGTTGTTTCAACTCTTTTTGAGTCTCAAGTTGGTTTTATGGGCTTTTAGATTTTTGTCAACCTTCGCTACTTCAACAAACTGTTCAAAAGGACCAAAGCTACCATTCCTCTTATCGTTTGATTATTGGATTCAAAATAGTTTAAGTTATATATCTGTGATCGCATGGACTCATTTTACATGTCACTAATGCAGTAGATAAAATCTACTGTATTGGTCCTTGTCCATAGACATAAAGAAATTTAAACACACACACACCAGCTAATGTGTAAACCAAGACTCTCTCTGGAAATAAAATCACTTTAAGTAACCTCTAGCCTGTAGCGATTGCGGTTGGGTTTGATATTATTTTATTTCCGCTGGATCGAATGTTTTTGAGATACTAGTAAAATACCTGAAGTTGAGAATTAGTATTTTTCATCACACAATTAACAAATAAATAAAGTACTGAGGAATAATACGATAAAAGGATAACATATATTGAGCATCTTCGTGTGTGTGAAAATAAACAACACACAATTATAAACTTTAAAGGAGGCGTTATCCAAAACCAAAACTATGGATTATTGATGCTTCCTATCTCCATTATTGTTGGTTTTCTAAATTTTTGTTCCGGTGTGCTGCGAATGTCTTCTTGTTTTAATTATTGGGGTTTTCTAATAACTCGGTTTGCTTTTTTCACTTTTGTGGTTCCATAAGACTCACATCACACGTATTCTCACCAAAGATTATTATTATTCCATTCCTCCGAGGTGTACATTTCTTTTCGAACTTGTTATCATTCTTGTATATTTTCGAAGTTATATTTATTCAAAAGTTTATCTATCGTTGGTTTGAATTGATACAACTTTTGTACTTTGTTGATTCGATATAAATATGTGACCACTAACCAGTACGCCAGCAGCACGCATTTAAACCAACGCAAAAATACTATTGTTAACTTGATTCTAATTAGCATGACCATATTCTAAAAACGCCAAAAACTTTCTACACACGTGGACGGTGTTACCTGCCGTTCATGCTATAATGTAATATAATACTACCTTTGAGGACACGTAGATCCATTTCAAAGATTCTGAAACTCGATTCTATCATTATCCAGATCCCACCTACATCCAGACACACAATCCAAAATATATTACAAATCTAAACCAAGACTCTTTCCGGAAATAAAATCACTCTAAGTAACTGACTTTTATGTAAACTTTTATGTATACACGGGCAAATAGTAGATCATTTCTTTGATCCAAATTTACACCTACATCCTCAAATATTGAAGACAAATAATTAACGAAAACTACATAATATTGATGGATCTTCATTTGAAATTTTGTATTTCAAGTTTAAACTTCTTTTAATACAAAATATCAGTCTTTTATTTTTTATTTTTTAAAAATCAATAGTTCTTTATATATATATATATATACTATATATAGATGTTCTTTATATGGATAGAAAAACTTAAACTCCTCATATCTTCTAAAAAAACTTTGAAATCTAATTCAGTGAATCCAAATTAGAAGTTTAGAATCAGGTGTCACCAAATCCATTTACCTCATTCCTTTGCCTTTGATTTGAAGAAAAAAAAAGGAAAGGAAATGAAATAGATAAAAAATCAAATGATGAATAATTACATAGATAGCCTAATCGAAGTAGGTTTAGGTAAGAAAGTGATTTAAACAATTAAACTTATATAACTTTTGATAATGAGTTCGTCAAACTAAACCTATAAAGAGTGCCCACACGGCCACACCTACCCATCTTTTTAGTTTCTTAATAACATACGGCAATTTGATTATTATTATCATAACTAAGGGAATAATTTTGTATATGATTACGATAATCCCAAATCTATTTTTTTATCTACGGATTTTATAGGATATCAATTTCAACTGTCGTACTCGTATCTATGTAGACGCATGCGACATGCTTCAACTTGATTTGGATATTTGAGATAGTTTTGTCCATTTTCTAATTTTTATTCGATAAACTTGTAACAAGTTATTTATTTATCGTTTTGTAAAATAACAGAACCATGAGTTATTTATTGTTATTTACTAATTCTGGTATTTTCTGTTGGCTTAATCTAGAAATATATATTCTCAATCAAAACTTCCAGATAAAACACCAATTTTTCAAAAGCTAAAATATTACACTGCAATAGTATTTTCTAATAAAGGAAAAATCAAGCAACAATTTATGAAAAAAATATGTTCGGCTTTATGGATACTTCAATCTCATTTTATATTTTCGTAAAGTTGGCTTTCCTATTCATACAAACTTTTTTCAGCCGATATTACAAGGAATATAATAATAATTATTTTATTTATCCTTCTTTCATTTTATGCAAATTGAGCATATGTATTATGTTATATAAGTAAGATGTGTAAGTATGTATCTATTATCTAAGCAACTTCAACTTCTTTTCTCTCCAACACATCACACAAACATGACTCGCTCCTCTAGATTCCTCGGCTCAGCCACGGCGTCGCCGCCGCCACCGCCGGAAGAAATCCTCGCCGCGGAAACCGACATGGTCGTGATCCTCTCAGCTCTCCTCTGCGCCCTCATATGCGTAGCCGGCCTCGCCGCCGTAGCTCGCTGCGCCTGGCTCCGCCGTCTCACCGGCGTCACCTCCGCCGCCGCCGGCGAATCTCCGCCGCCGAGCAAAGGTCTCAAGAAAAAGGCCCTCCAGTCTCTTCCCAAGTCAACCTTCTCCGCCGCGGACTCGCCGAGCTCCGCCGCCGGAGACGGAGGCTCAGCCACCGAGTGCGCCATATGCTTGACGGAGTTTGCCGACGGAGAAGAGATAAGGATACTGCCGCTATGTAGCCACGCTTTCCACGTGGCGTGCATAGACAAATGGTTGAGTTCTCGGTCTTCTTGTCCTTCTTGTCGGCGTGTTTTGGCTCCGGTGAAGTGTGATCGGTGTGGACACCGTGCTTCCACGTCGGAGGCTGAGGTTAAAGATGAACGTTCTTCATCTTCACAGTTCAGTCCTGTCATTATTCCTGCTTTTCTTCCTTAGCTTTCTTTATTTTAAAATTTAAGCGAAAAATTATCGGCATGATTAGAGATAAGTAAAGTATTCATTAACTATGGATTAGGGATCTTTTAGTTTACTTTTTGTTTTTTTTTATCCATTCCTGTCTGTAACACTGTTCTGAATCTCAATCAGATTGAGTTTCTAACTTCGAGATGCTAATTTATTTCCCATATAAATAACATTTTACCGCCAAACAAAAAATTTCCCATATATACTCACAATAAAATATGATTAACTAGAGCCGGCCCGCCCTACGGGCGGGATGTAAAATCTAAATAATTAAAACAGTTATATTATAGGTTTAATATATATTCTTATATATGAAACTTTACATATATGGTATTTTACGTGGAGACTAAATAAACCTTGTTATTTGTGTATATATATATTATATATTATTACTGTTTGCATATAGTTATGTATTAATTTGAATCAATGAGTAGATCGCAAGAAAAAAAATTTAGGGGGTTTATTTTTATATTTTTATGTATATATTATGTATTAAATCTTAATAATGAGTATAAATTAATATACATTTCTTTTACATCACAATATGCGAAGAATACATTTTAACCTAACAGTATTATGAATGTATAATTTTGTTATTTATTTTTCTAATATATTTATGTATATCTAATTATGTTAGAATAATTAATATTATATTGATTATATTTTTTGGGGCGACGTGATGTATATAATTATATTACTGTAAATTTTCACTGAGTGTGTTTTATATTTGTTAAATGATATTGTTTTATATTTATTTTCAGGTTCAGTAGTTTGGTTATATATATATATTCTTTGTTTTCATCCTATCTGTGATTTTCTGCTAATTATTAGAAGATTGAACATCAAAGTCGTTGTTGAAAAAAATTCATATACAATAGTTATGATTGTTTGAATAGAGCATTGTTCATTTTTTATTTTAGTGGAGTAATTATTTTAGTTTGTTTGTCTTATGTTAAGTCATCTACTATCATGTCAGATCTTATGTGTTCCTTGTATAATTGTCGTATAGTGTGATGTTCTTTTGCAATATTTTTTTTCTTGTGAAAACACTATACAAATATTTAATTTAAATTTCTTTAAATTATGGGATTATGCTAGACTTTTTTTCTTTTACTTTGAATTCATTTTTTTATAATTTCTACACATATCTGGTGACAATACTTTACATCAGTCCTTAAATTAGGTAAACAATTTTTGTATGTATATATCATATTAGTAGGTGTCGCATATGCTTCTTAATGTTGTTGGGGTGGTATATAATCATTTTTTTTGTATTCTTAAAAATTTCAAATAGCATGGTAGTTTGTTTACTTCAACCCTGTGAAACGATTTTTTGATACGTCTCTAGTATTGGTCAACTTTCGTTTTAATTAGTTTCCATCCAAGCATACCAAAGAATGCTTTACTGATCATGGGCTTGCCTTTGCATAATATTTTTATGCTGTATAGGTAAATATTATTGTCGTATAGGTAAATATTATTGTCGGATTATATATTTTAATTTGTTATAGTATATACTTTTCTGTCATATTTTTGTTTATTGCTTTGCTTATTGTTATTTAATGTTTATAATATATTTTATTAAAATCGTAATAGGTAAAACTAATATAAATACTCATTATTTTAGATCAAGCTAAACTATATCTCTTATTCATATAATAAATTTCATTAAAAAGTAAAGAAAACAACTTTTCAAAATGTTGTATGAATTAAATACACTAAAACTTCTATGAAAAATATTACTGTTTAGTGTTTACTATATCATTTATTAAACTATAAACATAAAAAAATATTGCAATCTAACAACAGTGTCATTTTAATATTTTAATCTTTTATAGGATTATATATATATATATATATATTGTAACAAATAATATGATTAGATATTATGTGTAAACTGTTGTATCAATTTACACCCTTTTGATTGAAATTGTTTGATATTATCATACTGAGCCCCAAATTTATTTCAAAAACTAAATTTAATAATAAGATTGTTGAGATTCTTTTATAATATTTTTCATTTTAACAAATTAATGTATAATATTCAATGTTTAATATGTTTGTTTATTATGTGTGAAACTATTTAAACTTACATTTTTAGATAGAAAGAAAATATCTTTTTCGTTTTTGAATAATTTTATAAGAAATTTTTTTTTGATGTGAAGAAAAATTAATTGGTCATCCAACTTACCCCATGCAAGGATTAAATAACAAAACATTAGGAAATTTAAACGAAGAGAAATGGTCACGATATGTTTTTTTCGCAGACTATAAAACAAATATTTTTTACATGATATAACAGTATCTGCAAAGATTCTCCACCTAACGAATTGTTTGTTACAGATAGAATGAGTTTTAGCATCTAAGATTTATTGTTTACCACTAAAATGAGTTTCCAAGTAGAGAATCACCAACATACACTACTTCTACGCTTCTCTCTCTCTTTACCTGCAACACATTCTTCTTCTTATTCTTCACGTGCAACACATTCTTCTTCTCCTCTGTCACCTCACATAAATACCATTTGTTATCTCAAATTTTCAATAAGGCCATGGAAAATTATTTTCTTTATCATGTGTTGTGTCTGTGTGGTATAGAGTGTGTTTACCATATTGCAGATGTTTCATCCTCTCAGTGTTTTTTAAGCATCTTCAGTGTTAAGCTTGATCTGCGTTTGATACGGCTCTGCTGCCTCTGCTTCCTTTGCAGTGGTGTTGATGCTTCAATGTTTCTCCGTCACCAATGGTGATATAGACAGGAGCCGATTAATCTATTCTTGGACATGGCTATATACCTGCAACAAATTTAGGATTAACATTAGTAGCCTTAATACCTGTGATTCTACACCAGTCATAAAGTTAAGAGTAACACATAAGTATCATCAACCTGGACAGCTGATTTCTCTCAAACAACCCACAGGACCTGACCACGTCTCATAGAACCATCGCCTAAGCATAGATTATTATAAAGTTATGTTTAAAGTGATGGTTCTCAACAAACTAAACCCACTTTTTATAGATGGCTCAGCCAATTCCTAGATTAAAGTGAACATCAGAAAACAAAAAGCAGCACGGAAAAGAATGACCAAGCTGTCTTTCCTATCTAAAAGAAAACAAACAAAACTAAAGAAAAGAATAACAACTGTAGAGTGTTTCAAATTCATGTGTATCAACTCTAGTGCTATACAAAAGTGAATTCAGTCAGTTGAAAATATCAGCAATAAAGGAAATTCACTGAAAATTATCAGCTCTTTACTGCATTCTTAAAGAACGTGAGATGAAAGCTACTTCTCTTAAACCAGCATTGAGTTTTCCTTGAGAACTATGAAGAGAGTTGAGAGCATACGATATGAGCAAGCTACACAATTGGGCATCCAATGTGGTGTCTTTACAAACTCCTCTGAAACTCAGAAACAACCTCGTATGAAGTGAGAATAGACAATCAGCAGAGAAGAGAAAATGAGCAGAATAATTATTCCACCAAGCATTAGGGTATATAGGAGAATGATATAGAACTGTCGGGAATACATAAAGACTGATTCAAGGTTTTTGCCCATTTAAACAAATAAGAACCCTAGTTGCTGAACAGCTAACTTATAAAAATAGAACCATAACACAAAGAGGTCTAAATCAAGCAAATAAAAGTTAATAAAGATGTGAAGCTTACATGCCCATCGATGAGTAGCAGATCGATGAACTTCATGTCGACCCCATGCCTCATACGGCGTGCCTCCCAGAGCCGGAGTACGTGTGCCAGAACGGATGAGCTCCTTCCGATCTTCAAATCGGAGAAAAAGACAGTGGAGTATCGAACCATGCATTAACTTCTGTCGTTTGTGATCTGAGGGGACGAAGAAAGGCAAGGGTCGCGAGTCACGATGGAGAAGGAAGCATACAATACTTTTAGGGGGCTTGTGAAGCCCAAACGATATGGCCCAACCCACTTGCTGACGTGGCCTTTCCAGGCTGGCATCCGACGTGGACACTCTCAGGAGGAGAGATGCTCTTCTTTATATAATAGATAAGATATGATTTAATTGATTGGACAACATGCGCACTGAGAAAAGAGCCATGTGAACCCGTTTATTACGAGCTAAACCCAAAAAGGAATAAAGACTCAATTAAAAAAAATAGAACTGGAAAGTACTGCAGTTTCCTTAATTTCCTTGTAATATTTCTTATAAACATATCTAGCAAGTGATTGGTTTTATTTTCTTTTCCGACAGTCGACATTAGCGGAAAATTAGTTTCAGTTATTTTATTTTTGTACACCAAAAATCAGTTTCAGTTAACTATTGTTTTTTTTTTGTCAACAACTATTGTTAAAAGTGTAACGGCACAAGTTATACTAATAAACTAGCAATTATTTTGTTTTATAGGAAGCAAAACTGGTAAACGATAAGTTAATTAGTGTGTAAGACAATGTAGTGATAGTAAGTAATATTGAACTAGTTATGTGAAGATTTTTTTTTGGTCGAAGTTATGTGAAGATTATTTATATGCAAATTAGATAAATAATTTGTGATGAAATGTGTGTTTGTAGTTCAAAAGTCTTCCTTATTTTCAGTCATAAGTCAAAGAAAGCGTGTATGGGTCTCATTATCGTTTACCCGCAAATAAGGAATGACTCTCCTTCATTCAATCTGAATGGGCAGAGAGAAATTTATAGTTGTCTTTGTTTTAGTCAATGACCATTATATACTAAAACTGTATATTTATTTTTCCTCGATGATATTATTAAACCAAACTGAAGGGAATACATTTATATATTTCAATAACTTTTCAAATTATATTATAGTAACTCCATAGACTAATGATACAGAAAAGACTATAGTGTAAACTATATGAAATACATGCAAGTAGTTTTAAAATAAATCAGCCATAGAATAAAATTGTAAAATATTTCTCATTTTTGTTGGGAAGCCGTAAATTCAGATTAAACTAAATTTTACGAGAATAAGAACAAATGAAAATAAACGATTTTTAAAATTTTCATGTTCTCAACAAAAACACAACTTTGTGATGTTAAATATTACTAACAATCATGCGGTTTTGACCACATAAATATAAGTCATAATGGAAATTACTATTTCTTTTCATGTACTACGAAGTTTGTGCGCCTATTATTTTTGAAAAGACCATTTATTTACGAAATATCAGAGAAACACTCCACATGAATAAATTGATTAAATTTGTTAGGTCTCTTTCACCATTATAGCAGATTTCAACTTTTTCCTCGGATTTTCATTTTATTGTTTCATGTATTTATTA